TGCCCGCCTGGCCTCTCCCAGGTCTCCCCACTGCCCGCCTGGCCCCTCCCAGGTCTCCCCACTGCCCGCCTGGCCCCTCTCAGGTCTCCCCACTGCCCGCCTGGCCCCTCCCAGGTCTCCCCACTGCCCGCCTGGCCCCTCCCAGGTCTCCCCACTGCCTGCCTTTCTTCCTTCTTCAGGGAACAGCTTTACTGAGATGTAATTCACATACCATAAAGTTCACCCTTTGAAAGGGTACACTTCAGTGTTTCTAGAGCATCCACAAAGGTGTGCGACCATCTAATTCCAGAACATTCCATTGCCCCCAAAGAAGGCCCGCCCCATCAGCAGTCACCCCCTGCCCCCAAGCCACCGGCCCCCACGAGGCCCCTTCCCGTCCGCAGATGAGCCTGTTCTGGACATGTCGCCCACGTGGACTCACACCCCGTGTGGCTTCTGTGTCCGGTTCCCTCCCTGAGCGTCGTGGGCTCGGGGTCCGTCCCCGGGGCCGCGTGTGAGGGCACCTGGCTCCTGATCGCGGCTGATACTCCCGTGTGTGGTGGCCCAGATCTTGTCCACTTGCCCACTGAGGGACATTTGGGGTGTTCCCACTTTTTGGCCACCTGAACCGTGCTACCATGAGCGTGCATGGGCTTCTGGGTGGACGCTTGTGTGTCTCACCTGCTGCTTGTCACCTCCCAGAACTCAGTCCCAGCCTCCTCTCAGCAGCGGGGTGAGTGCAGAACGGAGGTCTGCTAACCTCTTTCAGACCTAAAGCATTCGTGTTTCCTAATGATCTCGAGGACAGAACCCCCCGTTCTTGGGGGGGTTCAGCTCGCGGGGCTGAACGGTCAGGCCTGGCCTCGCCCTCTGCGGCGGCCACTTGTGCCCGGCTCCCCGCTGCACCTGCTGCAGGTCTCTGCTCCGCTCCCACGTCACCTCCGTGTGGAGCCGCCCTGGCCCTCCGCCCTGTCGCTCCCTCCTCACACAAGCCCCTGCCGCTTTCTCTCCGTCCAGAATGACTGGAGCCCCCGAGGGTGGGGAAGGGGGTCCGTCGTGTCCACCGTCCTGTCCTCAGCGGCCACCCGTGCGCCCCTGTCCCCGCAGGTGGCCGAGACGTGCCAGCTGGCTGCCCAGCGGCTCGAGTGGCTGCAGCAGCACCGTGGGGAGCCGGCGGTGGCCGGGCCCTACCTGTCCGTGGACCCTGCTCCTCCAGCCGAAGAGCGCGACGTGGGGCGGCTACGGGGGGTCCTGCTGGACGAAGCCCGGCCACTCTTTGACCGCTACCGAGCCATGTTCGCCCTGCGGGATGCCGGCGGCGAAGAGGCTGCGTTGGCTCTGGCCGAGGGTGAGTTGGGGCCGGGGCGGGGAGTCCCAGTCAGGGCGCCTGGGTGAGGCTCAGGAGCTGCGCCTGTGAGAGGGAGCAGCAGAGGGACCCGGGGAGCGCATCCTGGGCCCGGCGCCCGGCACTTCCTCCCCGGCTTTATAAGAGGTGGGCGGGCACCCTTCCCGCCAGTTCCCCGGGGGGAAGCCGAGGCCAGAGAGCCAGAGGGTCGCCTGAGCAGACAGCGGTTGGCGAGCCGCGGAGGTGGGATCTGGTCCCTGGCATGTGGCTCCGGCACCCTTAGCCCCTTTCTGTTATCGTGACTTGAGTCACTCTCCTCCCAGCTCCGCAGGCTGCTCTGCAGGCCTCTCCCCAGGCAGTCCGTGGTCCCCTGCACCCCCGTGCCCGGGGCGTGCCCGCAGAGGATTTGGAGCCCTCTCTGCGCTCCCAGAACTCCCTGTCTGGCAGGGAGATGCCTGGTCATCGCCTGGACCCTGGGCCACGGGGTGGGAGTCCCAGGTGGTGCCGGGCAGGAGCACAGCAGGGCTGGGTGGTGCTTAGGAGCAGGGGCCGCAGTCAGGCAGGTGGCCTCGAGCCCTGGCTCAGCCTCAAGGGCCTCTGGTCTTGGGCAGTCACCCTGCCCCTCCCGGCGGGGGCTCCCCATCAGTGTAAAGCATGACCTGTCTGTGGAGTGGGGGGAGGGTGCTCAGGACTGTCCCCTCATTAAACACGCGATAGCGTAACACACAGGCCCAAGGAGGAGGTAGGCGCAGCTGGCAGGGGACCCTGGGCCCGGAAAGGCCACACTGGCCCCGTCTGGCCTTGCGGAGGGCAGCGCTGTGTTCCCAGTGCCTGTTGGCGGGGAGCTTATTAGCAGCCCGTGCTCCAGCTTCTCCTGCCCCTCTGGCTGCAGCTCCCTCCCTTTGAGCAGCACTGACCACTGGAAACGGGGAACCCCCTTTCCACCTGCTCATTCTTGCGCTCCGGCGCTCAGCCCCGAGTCCCCCGCCTGCCCCGATGGCACCGCTTGGCCAGTGACCACCCTTGCCCTCCTGCCCGCAGGCCTGCACTGTGGCAGCGCCCTCTTCCGCCATGAGATTGGCTACGTCCTGGGCCAGCTGCAGCACGAGGTGGCCGTGCCCCAGCTGGCAGCGACCCTGGCCCAGCGGGCCGAGAACCCCATGGTGCGGCACGAGTGCGCTGAGGCCCTGGGAGCCATCGCCCGGCCCGCCTGCCTGGCCGCCCTGCGGGCCCACACAGCCGACCCCGAGCGCGTGGTGCGAGAGAGCTGCGAGGTGGCCCTGGACATGTACGAGCACGAGACCGGGTCGGCCTTCCAGTACGCCGATGGGCTGGAGCAGCTGCGCGCGCGCCCCTCCTAGAGCCGCCTGTCTGCCTGCCTGCCCGCCTGCCCTGCAGGACTCGGCATGAGCTGCATATAAACCGAGCTTGTGCGGATCGGGTCTGGCTTCCCCGTCCCCCTGGGGCTGTCTGCTTGGCCTGATCTGGCTGCTTTTGCATCCTGACTCCCCCAGGGCCAGGCTGAGGTGTCCTGTGTCCCTCATGGGGGGCCTGGCGCAGGGCTGCAGCACCCAGGTTTCTGGTCACGGCGGTGGGATGTTGGCGTGGGAACGGGGGTCTGAGGGTGCAGGCCAGGGCTATGCTCAGGGAAGTTGGGGTTGCCTTGACCCCGCCTCTTAAGGAACCAGGGGAGCCCGGAAAGGCACTGTGGGCAAACCCAAGCCCTTGGGCCTGGCCAGGGGCTGGGGCTTCCAAGGGCTGCCCCTGGGGCCTCTGACTCCCTAGCCCGGGACTAGGCAGGGTGGGAAGGTTGTTAGGGGCTTGGGGGCTGGGGAGGGACAAGCAGACCCCGGCCAGTGACCACCCTTGCCCTCCTGCCCGCAGGCCTGCACTCAGTTATTTTTGCCAAGCCATGACTCTCAGACTATGTTGGGGGCTCTGCAGGGCTGCTCTCAAGGAACATCTCAGGGAGGGGACCGGGGTGTTTGAAGAGTTCCAGGCCCATGCCCTGGTTTCATCTCCGGCCAGCCCACTCCCAGCCTGGCCTTCCCCACACCCTCATTCTCACCCAGCCCCTATTGGGGTTTAGTGGTATGGCTAGGAGCCCAGGCTGTGGGTTGCCGTCCCAGCTACCCACCTCATTCTCCATGTGCAGCCTTCAACACCCTGTTTTACGGCCATAAAATAGGCGTAACCATAGAACCTAATCTCACGTGGGACACATTCCACCTGCTGCGGTCTGCCGGCCAACAACATCCCTGCCCGGTCACATGAGGGCATAGATGCCCAGAGTGGGGGTCCTTGGGCTGGTTTTGCCACACTGATGCCTTCTCCTCCTGGCCCTTCTGATACCAGGCACGCGAGGTCTCCACCCTAAGCAAGTCATCTCTCCATGGGCATCCTACAATTCGATTCAGTTCTGATGCGCACTGCCGAGTTCACGCCGGGTCCCCTCCTCACTGCTGATGATTTGCTCGCATAGCTCCCAGAGCTCAGGAAAGCACTTGACTTGCCTGTTTCTTAAAAAGGATGTCACGAGCAATCAGATGAGGGGTCTCGGGTGCAGGGGCTTCTTCCCGTGGAGCTTGGGGCACAACCCCCTCTGCCACGTGGATGCGTTCACCTGCCCTGGAACTTTCTGAGTCCCTTGGTTAGGGATTTTGTGGAGGCCCCGTGTGGAGGCAAGGTTGGTTCAATAGGTGGCCATTGGTGATTCTCCCCCAGGGCCGAGGGTGTGGCTGAAAGTCCCTCCTTCCTCAGCCCCCAGCCCCATCCTGAAGCCACCTGTGAGCCTGCAGTCCCAGGCCTCGTTGGCGAGCCCAAGTGTGGTGGGAAGGCCTTCCTCTTCCTCTGGCCCTTGCCTCTCAGGAAGTTACAGGCTTTTTAAATTTTACTTTGTTAAGATTTATTATTTTAGAGAGAGAGCAGGGGGGAGGGGCAGAGTGTCCCAATCAGACTCCGTGGTAGGTGCGCCTGACACAGGGCTCGATCCCACCCCAAGATCACAATCTGAGCTAAAACCAAGAGTCGGTCACCCAACCAACTGAGCCACCCAGCTCCCCAGGAAGGTACAGACTTTTAAAAGGGGCTGGGGCTCGGGGCCCGGGACACACATTCTCTATTACCTCAGTGTCGCAGGCACCTCATGACTGGCCCACCAGCCACCCTCCCTGCTCTCCTCAGATTTACCTGTCCCCAGCAGCAGAGACCGTGGGAATTTCTTAAAAACAAGCCTTCCTGACCTCACAGCATCCCCAGGTTCTGTCTCCTGCCCACTTTGTGCTTCTCTCTCCAGCAAGAGCCCCAGGAAGAGCCAAACCCCGACTGCCTCCCACGGCTCGCCTTTCCCTCCTACTGGCACCAGCCAGGTTCCGCCCTCCTGTCCCCAGACCTGTCATAGTCTCTGTCCTCCTCCCCCTCGGGCAGTGTCTCACTGGCCCAGCCCCCTCCTTCTCCTGGGAACTTCTCATGGGACCAGCCTCCCCTCCCACCTCTCACCCCTCCCCTGGTGCCCAGGCTGGGTCCTCGGGCCTCTTCCCTCCCCAGTCGCTCCCCTCCCGGGCAGCCTCGTCCACTCTCCCCGCCCCCACCCCAGTCTATGGCAGGACGATGCCCACAGTCCTGTCTCCAGCGCCCCCTGATACTATTTTTTTATTGTCTTCCTATGTGTTTGAGAGCTGACTCCAGATTGACTTTGCGGTAACCTTGGCTGGCCAGCAAGGACACCATCTCGACCGTGTTTTGTGGCTCAGGCTAATACTCACGCAGGGCCTCCCCAGGGGCCTCCTGATTTCCGGACTCGGGGTCCGGCTGCCCCGCTACATCTCCACTTAGATATTGGTGAGGCATCCCAAACATAGTGTGTCCTTAGGATTTCTCATGTTACCTCCCAAAGCTGCTCCTCCCGCAGGAAGTGGGAACTATCATTCCAGGGGCTCAGCCTAAAAACATCGGGGTTGAATCAGTTTAAAATCTATCCCGGATCTCTTACTTGCCCGCAGCCACCACCATCTCCTGCCTGGACCCGCCCAATCCCCTCTGCCCCGCCCCCCGCCCCCACCTTCCTTCCCCCAGTCCGTTCTCCCTGCAGCAGCCACCAGAGAGCGCCGGTGAGCACCGGAGCCAGGTCCCTCCCTCCCTGGGGGAAAAGCCCAAGTCCTCCCCAAGGCCCACAAGGCCCTGCACGACCCGCCCCTGCCCTGCCCCTCTCTGTCGCCCACTCTGTTCCAGCCAATCAGGCCTCCTCAATGTTCTTCCAACAGGCCAGGCCCAATCCTGCCCCAGGACTTTCGCATGTGCTGCTTACTTGGAACCTTTTTCCTTCCCCATATGTTTACTCCCTCAGTGAAACATTTGCTCTTTTGTTCAAACATCACCTCCTCACTGAGTCTTGCCGGAGCACTTGCACCGACATCATGACCTCCTAATGTTCCTTTATCCTGTTCCCTGCTTTCTTTTTCTCCATAGCATCTATAGTTTCCTGCACACTGTTTTCTCCACTAGAATAAGCACCATGTGAGCAGCGTTTTGTCTGCTTTGTTGTCCATGACATGACAGCGGTGTGGTGCTAAAGGAGCAATCTGGAAAATAAAAACAAAGCCCTAGTCTGTAGCGTTTGCCAGTTCCCATAGTTTAAATCTTGCCACAATGGGGCCCCTGGGTGGCTCAGTCGTTAAGCGGCTGCCTTTGGCTCAGGTCATGATCTCAGGGTCCTGGGATGGAGCCCTGCATCGGGCTCCCTGTTCAGCGGGGAGTCTGCTTCTCCCTCTGCTGCTCCCCACCACTCCTGCTCTGTCAAATAAATAAAATCTTAAAATAAGTAAATAAATCTTCCCACCATGGTCCACACGTGCAGTTGCTGACCATGACTTCTGTAGTCAGCACCCACAGGCTCCTGCACATCACTAAGTGGATCCCTAGCACCGAGACATGCCAGGTAAATATTTGAGGAATGCCCGTCCGCAGGGGCGCTGCTTAAACAGTGGTGCATTTATACACTAACAGCCAGACCCTCAGAGGGATGGGAAGACCTTCCTGTGTTACAGGAAAGCAGTCCAAGATTGACCTCCAAAACTCGAAGCAGGCGAAGCCGACTCGTGCAATCTCATTTGCATAAATGGAGTTACGTATGTAAATTACACATGGGTGACTTTTAAAAAAAATATCCAAGCATTTACCCAAAGTACTTTCAATCTTATACTTCCCTGTGCTACTTGGAATGTTTCACCATGGTATTTACTTTGACATTTGTTCGGGACGGTGACGGTGGCCCCTTCAGAGGGAGCAAACAGCCTGCCCAAGGCGGCTGCTTTACCCGGGGACAGAATTCGCCTGGCCATTCTGTTCTGCTCTTGGCTTTCTCTTGCTTCCTGGGCCAGGCAGAAAGCATAAGGCACTGGGGCGCCTGGGTGGCTCGGTTGGTTAAGCGACTGCCTTCGGCTCCGGTCATGATCTCAGGGTCCTGGGATCGAGCTCCGCATCAGGCTCCCTGCTCGGCGGGAAACCTGCTTCTCCCTCTCCCTCTACCACTTCCCCTGCTCATGCTCTCTCTGTCAAAAAAATAAATAAAATCTTAAAAAAAAAAAAAAAGCATAAGGCACTGAGGCAGGTGCACCTGCGTGGCCGGATGTTCCCGATTTTAAGGGAGGACAGAGCAATTGATTTGACGTACCATCTCTCATTTAAGAGATGTATGGGGCGCCTGGGTGGCTCAGTCGTTAAGCGTCTGCCTTCGGCTCAGGTCATGATCCCAGGGTCCTGGGATCGAGCCCCGCATCGGGCTCCCGGCTCAGCGGGAAGCCTGCTTCTCCCTCTCCCACTCCCCTTGCTTGTGTTCCCTCTCTCTCTGTCTCTGTCAAATAAATAAAATCTTTAAAAAAAAAAAAAAAGATGTGCGCGGGGTGCCTGGGTGGCTCAAGGTCAAGTGTCTGCCTTTGGCTCAGGTCATGGTCTCGGGGATCCAGAATCGAGCCCAGTGTCTGGCTCCCTGTTCTGCCAAGAGTCTGCTGCTCCCTCTCCATCTGCCCCTCCCCGCCCTTCATGTGCGCACGCGCTTTCTCTCAAGAGGATAAATTAAAATGTGGGCAATTAAAAACATAAAAATGCCATGCATAACAAAGAAGTCACTTTTAACAGACCAACTATTGGTTTAAACATTCAGGTGTTCATTTCACAAATATTTATTGCACACCTACTGTGTGGCGGGCGGTCCCAGGCACAGAGGGCACAGAATGAGATAGTCTCTGGTCTCCTGGAGCTGACGTCCTGATTTTTTTTTTTTTAAGTGATCTGCACACCCAACATGGGGCTTGAACTCATAATTCCGAGCTCAAGAGTCACCTGCTCTACTGACTGAGCCAGCCAGGCGCCCCCTGATA